GCATACACTCAACAACTACAGGGTAACATTTCAAAAATTATTCTGTCATTTAATCTTCTTTACCCATTTTTTACATCCAACTGAATTCTAGGAATCTGCACATATCAAACGATATACCCCACTCACACAATAGTTCCAGGATATGCTTTTTTCGGCATTTTCGCCCGTGGCGCAACATAATGTCAGTATATATATACCACACAATGTGACCAGACTGTCCAGGCATGTGGTCACATTAGCTGCCCCATTTAAAACTCAAGTACAGTATCTTTTTATTATTTCAAAGAACCGACCAACCCTCCCGCTCCGAACCCTACGTACCTATAGCCCCGCCTGTCCCAACCCTTGGGCCGCCCATTAAACTAAAAGCTTTGACATTTTATGTGCGCCCGAGGCATAAAAATGAAAAACTTTTGAGTGGGCGCAAAAAAACAAGTGCACAAAAACAACAGCAACTAAATAATTGAGCGCGAGTGAGAGAGAGAGAAATGAAGGAGAAGACAACGAGAGAAAAGTTATAACATTTGAAATTAATTAAGAGCGAAGCAACAGATTTAATCAGCGGAAAATTTGCATCGAGTGCTTGATTAACTTCACAATTGAACTTTCCAGCCTATACGCATTCAAGCCAATTATGTTTGCTGGCAGTTCGAATTTGTTTCATCTAAAAACTCAATTAGTAACTCGTGGCTGCAGTGCCACACGCACAACAAAGCTTAACACCTACAACAGCAGCAGTTTGCAACATTCCAACTCTGGTCACATAACTGTATGCGTTTGTGTGTGTGTGCAGCCAATTAAAATCGGTCAAAGCCATGCTTTAGCCACAGATGTGCTGATGCTGCTACACAGGCCAACACAATTTTATGCCAAATAATTGCACATTATTTCCAAGAATTTCTTCACATTCTTCATTTCTTTTCCATCGTTCTAAAGTCCATTATTTCCAAGAATTTCTTCACTTTCTTCATTTCTTTTTCATCGTTCTAAAGTCCATCAGAAACAAATTTGCATAAACGCAGTTGATATATTTGAACTGCTTACAAGCAGTTCAATATTTGCGTACATGAGAGATGCGTCAAGTGGTTCAAAATAAGTTCAATCGACTGTGATCAGTGAACAGTGAGTGCAGTTCAGTTGCGCAACATGAAGAACAAGTTCTATTGAACTGAGCTGCTGAACTACTCAAACACAAAGTGAACTCTGTATGCCAGCCAGCTCTAGCGCAAATGTACACAATTACACACGTGCACACACACACACACACACACACATACGCGCACATGATCTCACAAATTACAAAAGTTTCTCTTGACTTTAAGAGAGCGGAATGAAAGTTTTAGCAAGTGCAATTGGCTTATTAGTGGCTTGCACGAGATAAATTACGTTCTTGAGTGAGAAGGTCTAAAGAGAAGGTCTAAAGAGTACCTGTTTGCCACACATATGGCAGAGGCAGGCAGAGCAACAGCAACTGTAACGAACGCAGCATACATATAAATCAGCAGCCAATTTGTCAACAGCAGAAGCGCAGCCTGATTGACAGTTGCCTGGCAACAAGGAAACCAGAGAGCGGGAGAGAGAGAAAGAGACTATGGGAAGGACGACTGCAGCAACTGCAGCAGCAGCGGAAGGCCCTTTGGCTTTTACATAAATTTCTATTGCGTTTAGCTTGGCTTACTGGCAACATGGCAACAGGGCAACAGGGCCAACTCAATAAAACTTACGCACCAGCATAAACTCCACTTAATATCCACATCACCTCAGGTCGTGCATAACGGTAAACCTCAACTATTGCCCAGCATCTTGTCTCGCTTGCACCAGCAGGTCGCTCTTGTTGTTCTTGTTGCCATTTCAGCTGCTGTCGTCTGCATCGGAAGTCGTTAAAGTGGAAAATTGAAAGTGAAGCTGGCGTCGCTGATGAACTGCAACAGAAGCAGCAAAGGCTTCCACTGATGGATCAGCTAGACTGACGGACTGCAACCGCATTGAATGCAAGTCAACTTTAAAGCTTTTAACACGCTATGAGCGTAAATATACAATTTACCGCTAAAGAGAGCGCAGCCCACACACAAGCAGGGAGAGTAAGTGAGAGCGGGACGGCGAGTGCTGATAGCGCATGTAATGGGAGCGCAATAAACAGCTGATGATTAATGCTCCCAAATCGCTCGCATCGCTCGCACTAATTACGCGTCAATAACAACAACAATGCAGCGAATAGCTTCAAGTCAATAAATTCAGTCAATTAAATGCAATATACAATTGCGATCAATGAAAAATGTTTAGCTGAATAGATTTTCTACTTACAAACGTCCAATTAGTCAAAAAATACATTTTGCAGTTGCTTGATTCACTAAAACTGCAGCCGCAACCGCAGCCAAATAACTATTTTCTGATACACTTCACTCAATTCACACATAAACATCAAAGCGCACGAATCGTTTAACAAAACAAAACAAACAAATTAAACGAGGTAAACACATAAAGAAGAAAACGCAGAAAAAAAAAACGCAAAAATAATTCACCCGCTTTAAAGAACTTCACTCACATGGCGCCTTCGAAGTCGCGGCGAGCACTGAGTAAACTTTTTTTTTTGTTTTGCTTCCCCTCAAAACCGCTCAAACTGTGTTAATTAAAAGCGCAAATAAGCGCACACAGCCAAGAGACACTCACACATTAACATACACACACACACATTGGAAATCGAATGACAGGCAATCGAACGAATGACAACAAAAGCAGCAACAAGTACATACATAGATAATAACTCAGAGCGAAGAGAGCGGCTGCTCGAATGTATTTGTTGTTGCTTGTGCCATTTCGCTCAAGTGCGCGAGCGCTCTTTGCGATCGTTTGAGGCGAAAAACAAACTTCATTAAAAACTTTGAAATTGCTTGGTGCAAGGGCCGAACAAAGTTTTAATGCCCAAACTTAACTGTAATAATAATGTTGATATTAATAGAATTTACTGCATGCAGCTGCTACACTACAAATGCCGATTCCGAATTGTCAATGGCCCAGTGACGTCACAATTGAGATAAGCTGATAGCAGTTGAGCTATCTTATGAGAGAAAGAGAGATAGAAAGAGATAGTGAGCGCGAGCAGCCACAAATTAAGAGCATACTTTCAGGCTTAACAATTAGCGAACTTTTAATTAATTTCTATATAATTCCAACTCAACTTATTTTTGTTTAAAGCAAGCTACAGAACAATTAGCTAGCATAACTACTTAAAGGAAACTAATAAATCTAACTACGAATATTAGTTAACTACGTTTAATGCTTAATTATTATTATTCATTACGTAGAAAAGTTTTCAAGGCCAGTGCCAAAGAAAATAGAAAGAGAGCAAATACGAAAAACTTTGAAATGTAAAAAAAAGACGAAAAAAAAAACCGAAATTAAAGAGAAAATAAATTTTATTTAATTGAAGGCAAAGACAAAGACTAAACATTTCTTTCTCTTTAAACTTAATTTTATTTATCTTATTTTTATTTTTTGCTTTCACAACAAAGCAGTTTGGCAGTCAGTCAATGTGGCAATTAGCAGGGAGAGAAAGTTTTTCTTGGAAACGAACAAATAGGGAAGCCGAAAATGAAGCGAAAATTAATTAAAAATATGCGTTATTTGGGTTAGATAGAGTTGGGAGAGAGAGACAGAGACAGAGTTAGAGAGCGTTCTACTTGGTTAGAAATTTGAAATAGTTTAGGGTTAAATTAGGTTTTGATAGAGCTTCTTTTTGTTTTCTATAAAATGTAGTTTTGATTTCAATTTAAGAGAATTCTGCACTTACCGGTTTTGCTTTGGGCTTCTGTTTGGCCAAACGTTTCGGTTTCAACATAGTCCGCTATGGACGCACAGAGACACACACATACACAGAAGACACAATGAGTTAAAGAGAGCGAAACGGAGCGCGGCCAACCCCACACATACACACCCACGCACACACTCACACACACACACGCTGCGAGTGCTCTCGCTGATTGGCTGATTGATGTGTATGAAGAGCGAAGTTAACGATGTCGATGTTGAGCGTAGAACAGTTATCCTCGCAATGCGCTACTTTCGTTTTGAGCGCTGTAGGCTAAGCAGCCTGCGTTTTTTTTTTTTCGAAGTTGAAAGGAAAAGAGAATATATGTTTATTAATTATTCAGTTTATTTAAAAATATTTTTGGCATGCAGGCGTGCAAAACGTGCTGAAGATTCCAAATTAAGCAAAGCGTGGCAAAAGCTCTAATTGAAATAAGTGAAATATGCTAATGACACTGGCTGAAAGCTTAGCTTTTCAGTTACTTTAATTGCTGGGTAAAGAAATATAACAAAAGTGTATAACAGTTTATGCTAGTAGCTAATAATATCATGGATCACGCAAAGGTTTTCTGTTAAGCTGTACTACAAGTATATAACACTTCTAGCTATATTACTATCATTACTGGTTTGCATTTTAGTTTTGAGAATTCTCTTTGACATTTTAATGTTATACGCTTGTATGACACTATTTAGTTCCATGCCATCCATGCAGCAACTGATTAAAAATGCCTTTAGAGCTCTACAACTCTTATACATTAAATTTCAGGCCAGTGTCATTGTGGCATTTCTTTTCGCACTGGCATGCAAGAAAACGTACCTGGCAACTTTAATATTAATTGAAAGAGCAAAAAATTGTTTAAAGTGCGATGTAAATAACAAATGAAGCGGACGAAAAAGGACAAACAAAAGTGAAAACAAAAGCACCAACAACCAATTACGAATGTTAAAAATGAAATATGTTTGGACTTGAACCCTGTTAAGGGAGACATAGGCACACACACAGATGGTGAGAGTGAAAGAGACGGACAGATGGAGAGTGAGCCTAATGCATGTTATGCTAATTGTATTTACTTAGGCAACTGAACAAACACGAAAATCTTTTCAAATATGCAAGCAGGGACAGTAACAAAGAGAACTCGTAGAGAAACTAAGAGAAAAATGTATAAAACTGTTATACGATTCAGGACGCTTACCTTGATGGGCTTCTTTATGGGAGCTGGACGCGAATACTGATGGTAGACCTGGACATGGTTCGAGGTGAATTTGCTCAACATGTGGGGCTATTTAATGAATACCAAAAATATCAATTGCTGTAAATAGAAAGAGGAGAAACTGTTAAAAGTTGTTTTTAAAGTGTGTGCGACTATTTATAAAGTTTTAAAAGGGCAGACAGAAGTGACTTTGATGTTCATCCAGTTGATTGAGCAGACAAATTTTGTTGTTCTTGTTTTCGTTTCTCTTTTCTTATTTTGTAATTGTAAACCTCTAACTAATCTCCTATCTCCAATCTCCTATCATCTATATCCCATCTCCTATCTCCTATCTCATATCTACTATCTCTTATTTCCTATATCCAATCTCCTATCTTCTATCTCCTATCTCTAGTCTCCTATCTTCTATCCCCTATTATAAATCCCCATTCTCTCTATTTGCTGCTCTCTACTCTCTACGGTCTTCTCCCTACTATGCTCAACCCTTCTCGTTTTGTGCTTCCAATTAGACCTCTCAATTAGGAACAACGCAAATAGAGTTAAGCTCTGAGCTTTTCGTTGCGCAAATGTCACAGTTAAATGTCGCTCATGTTGACGAGTGGAAAACAATACACTTCCAAATCGAGAAGATGTCATCGCTGTCTAAACCCTTGTTGATCCACGATGACGACATCAAATGTTAGGCAGATTCAACACATGACCATAAGTTTCCCTCAACTCATAGAGTGAGAGAGAGAGAGAGAGAAAGAGAGAGAGAGAGAAAATTAGAGAATGTTGGCAGAGAGTGGGAGAGGTCGAGTGTAACATGACCAAGTCCACGACAAGGCCAAGAGCAGACGCTAACGACAACAGTTGACTCGACGCCTTTGAAATTTGAAAATAAAAGAAAATTTTGTGCGCCGTGACATCAGTGGAAAAACCTGAAGAAAAGAAAAGAAAAGCGAATAAGCAACGCCAAAGCATTTCAACAGCTTAGCCAGAATCAAGCGTCGAACAACACTCGCGAGCAAGGAAGAACTGAGTTGAAGGCCATTAATTGCTGGACTATGAGATGCCCTAGAAAACTGAGTTGAAGGCTATATTAGAATAAAGCTAACACAAATTTGCAGACTCTATCTGATCCTAATTCCTAAAGGTTATCTCAATCATAGAATTAAAGAACTTGACTATCTTCATATAATATGCCCCATTTGCAATTTATTGTAGGATATTTGTAGGAAAGTTGAAGCAAATGCCAACTTTGCTCGCATTAAAGTTGTTGTTGCAGGCGAAGCTGTTCCTCCTGCTCCTGCTCCTACTCCTGCTGCTCCTGCTGCTACTTCTGCCGCTCCTGCTGCTACTTCTGCTGCTCCTGCTGCTGTTAGCGAGCTGGCTTAATTTGTGGAATTCAAGACATTTGCTTTCGTTTTGAAGATTATATGCGTATTATAATCCGCTGGCCATGCACAGAGTCAAGCATATTATACGTACGAGCGCCAAGGAAGACAAAACGCATTTTGGCCCAAAATCAATATCTAAATACAGTGAGCACTGCGTACATGTGATTAGCTTGTGTGCAGTCAGTTAGGCTCAAGAAATTGAGATAAACGCTTCCATTAAATATGATGCAGGGCACAAAAGACATTTTAATACTATGCCGACACGTACGCGACGTTATTTTCGGGCGTAACTAGAGGGAAAACTTCCTTCATCTTTTTCCTTTTTATGCAAGAGGTTTTTTTTTCTTTTTTGTTTTGTTGTTGCTGTTGCTTTTGTTGTTGTTTTGCCTTGCTCTACTCTAATGATTGCTCAAAGTTCTAATTTGACTTTAATAAGCAATTGGGTGCCCGACGATGTGAAAGAGAGACCCAGCCCAAGGACCAGCTACAGCCTCAGCTCCAGCTGCAGCCCCAGCTAAATATGCTCAGCGCTTGCTTTTGGGGCCATACAATTTGGGTAAATGACAAGATTAGTGTGTGCGCGAGCACTGCCCTGCAAAGTAGGCTACGTTTTTTTCTGCTCGTTTATGTATGTTAAGCAGGTGAAGCAGGTACATTACGAAGAGTTAGTAAAGGGAGTTTGGCTTTTCTAGTTGAAGCTGGAGAAATATATGATATGAAGGAGAGACAGAGACAGAGTGAGATGCGAAGAGGTAGAGATAGAGAAATAAAGAGAAAGAGAGAATTGTTGAAGTGAAGTCAAGGTGAGAGAGAGGGATAGATAGAGAAAAAAGACAGATATTGGGAAATGTAGAAGACAAAAATAGAGAAAGAAAGATAGAGAAAGAAAGATATAGAGAGAAAAACACACAGAGAAAGAGAGAGACAGATACGGGTAATAGTTCAACTTGGATATTTGATTGTATTCAACTACAAATTTTAATTTCTTTTCAAATATGTACAAAGAGAGAGAGAGAGAGAGACAAAGCAAGCGGTAAATATATATGATATTCTCATCGTTATTTTGATAAATTACTTTTTTGAATGGGAAGAGAGAGCGAGCAAAGTGGCTGGCATTTGTGGCCTGTTATGCTTTCAAATTATTTTAATTATTATTCCAACAAACTCGCTAACAACTACTCAAAGACCGCGCGCCAAGTGTGACCACAGACCGCAATGAATAGAAACCACAAGAGTCACTACGCAGTCTATACGGTATACATGTTGGTAAGAGCTATTATATATAGCTATACTATTATTCAAATTTGCTTTAATGGCGCTAGTTCAAAGCGACATATCATTCGAGCTGCTAGCTCAAATACCGCATCAAAGCAACAAAAGCGCCATCAGCGAACCGTGCAATGCCGCACCACTCCACTATGGGGAAAAATCCAAATTATCGGGTATTAATTAATAACTTAAAAACTAAGCCAGATTTTTTGATCCGGTTTTTGTATTATTAATATGTATACCATCAGAAATATATTTTAGAAAAATGGGCGTGTCACCGCCCACCCAAAAAAAATTTATTAAAATTTTGTATTAAAAATTTTTTTTTTTTTTTAAGAATTTTGCTTGTTCATACTTTAAAATAATAATTTTAATTGAAAACAATCGAACTTTCATAAAATCGAAATTAGTTTTCTTCAGTTTCGAGTTCCAAATCAGCCAGAAATATTGATCCGCTAAAAAAATTCGGGTTCTTCAACTGATTTAATTGTGCCTTCAACTTTACATAATACAATACGTACAACTTCATTAGACAGCGACCTTTATGCTTTCAAACTCTTTTCTAAAGATTTGCCGAAGAAATAATCTGATCAGATGTATCCATTGTTAAAAACCATCAGCGAAATTATGGATTCTGCTCTCATGCTCTCATGCATGATGAAATTAGTCTGATTTATAGACCTGGTTGGGCAAATCAGACGCTTCCTTACCAAAAAAGCCTACAGGATGAACAGTACTTTCCATAATCTGCCTCAAATGAACAATTATTTTTATAAACATTTGCTGTCATAGGCAGTCATTCATAGTTGTCAGCTAGTTTTTTGTTCCTGCTGCATTTCTTCCATTTGTAATTTATATTTTGGCAAAAAAAGCGGCTTTTGCTTTTTTAATATCATTTATAAGTTGAATCAATATTAGTCTTATTTAGTTTCAAAATCACAATTACTATTTCTTGGTTAGAGTTGCCTTTTTCATTGAGCCAAATATCACACAGGTCAGCTCATAGTCACCTGCTAAAAATTGATTTGCGCCGGTTGTGCGCAAAAGTGCACATTGAGACAAAGGCACTAAGATCCCAATTGATTACTCTATAACATGCAATTGGAATTACACTGGTGCGCCCTGGTGGCTGTTTTATATGTCTTTGCAAAGTTTAATTTTATTTACAAGAAATGAAATTTGACAACATTTGCTAATTATACAATAAATGATTAAAATAAGTTCAAACATCAATTGGTTTTTAAGCCAACGCATAGTAGAAGCCCTAAAAATTCATATCCTTTTTAAATTTCTCAAAAATAATGTCTGGTCATTGAATAACGATGATTTGAAAATCGGCTAACACAAATTGTAAGCTGAAGGCAAATGCTTTTCGAAGATAACAGCTGACTTTAACAGCTGTTAGGCTTAACAGTGGACTGTTATTCAACATTTTGGGTACAGTACCTTAAAGTTTGGAGTTTTATTAAGATGTTAACATAAAAAAATTATAAATTTTCATACTTCGCAAAAATGACTAAATACCCGAAAAACGGCAAAATTCCCCATAGTGCACTCGAAGGTAACTGAAAAAAGAAAACACACACACACACAAAAACAAAATGAATGGAGAAAAGAAAGAGAGTGAGAATATAGTGGAGAAAACTTGAGAATTTCCAGTGGTTTTCATCGGTAATTTGCAATGCAATGTCGCACTAGACGCCCGCCGTTGAGTAGTTGACGTAATCACTCAAGTAAGGCACGGCCAGGTAGGTGTGAGATATATAAACGAGGGTTTATGCATGTGTACACTGAGAGAAAGGCAGACTCTAGAACTCTACAATTAATTATAAACTTTGCATGCGCAGTTATTCATCACATAAATATTGATGAAATTAAAGGCTCAAGTCAAATTCAATTTGAAATTTATAAATAAGAAGTTAGAAATATAAAAATACACTCAGAGAAACGAGTGAACAGTCAAGTATGTTAGTCACTCATTCTAGCAAATTTGAATATTTTTAATGTACTGAATAAATTAATAAACAAAAACCTAAATTTGTTTGACAACATACACTGAAAGAAATAGAGAAAATCGAGTCTGAATCTTAATTAATACTAAAATAAAAAATTTAAATATATTAGGATACTAATCTGTAAATATTTTATAAAAAAAATATATTTAAAAATTTTTTTTGTATATATATATATCTTTTAATTTTAAGAATTAGATCGAATTTCCTTAAAGTGTTGTTGCTTATTTATTTGTAACAGTGTATATATTTTAAATAAAAACAAGTAAGAAAGCTCTAGTCGAGACTGCTCGACTACGAGATCCCCTGAACCCTTGGAGCAATAGATATTTCAATACTTTTTCGCGACTTTCAGCTTACACAAGAAACACGCACACACACACACACACACGCACGTACGCACACACAGGTAGACATACACACACGCATACAGACACAC